GGAACTGCAGATCTGTGGGACAGGCTGGAGAAGTCCCACAGTTTCGGGGTTCTCTTGCTCTGTGTGTGACCCATCCCTTTTCTGGTTTTCTTGTCTTAGCTGGGATGCAGCTTTTGGGCAAAAACAATAAACGGGCGGGAGGGGGAGGGGTTGAAACATCAAACCCTGATTTTTTTCCCCAGATTGTGGAATAACAGAGCCTGGGCCAGTCTCTGTGCTCTTGTGGAAGGGAACTGCCCCTGACTTTGTTGAACTCTCTTGCTCCCCACGGGTACTCATAAATGCATGTTTACATCACTCCTGTTGAAAGTTGTGGGACTTGGAAGGAGAGAAGCAACGCTGAGATCCATTAATTGGTTTTATTTATTTATTAATTTAAAACATTTCTGTGCCGCCCCCATCACAACAAAGCCTCGGGGCGGCTCACAACAAAAACAAAAACATACAAAATTATACGAAAACAAAGTTATACCCTAAAAATATTAAAACCTGGTGCATCTCGGCTTAAATTTTTTTTAAATCCTACATAATAAATTAACACTTAAAATAAGTTTTAAATAAAAAGGTCTTTGCCTGGCGCCGAAAAACAAATAACAACGGTGCCAGGCGGACCTCTCTGGAGAGCGCATTCCATAGGTGGGGCGCCACTGCAGAGAAGGCCCTCCTCCGGGTACTCACCCTCCTAATATCCTTCACAGAGGGCTCCCGGAGAAGGGCATCCGTTGCTGATCTCAAGGGGCGGGAGGGCATATATGGGCACAAGCGTTCCTTTAGATATCCTGGTCCCAAGCCGTTTAGGGCTTTATAGGTCATAACCAACACCTTGAATTGGGCCCGGTTTTATCAACCTCTTCCAACTTCCATCATTCCCAGGCTGCAGGACCATGGGGCGAGCTGTCTCAGGAGGATGGGAATTGCAGACTGGCGTATCTGGACAGCAGCTGGCTGGGGAAGATGGGGTTAGGCTGATGGATTACATGCACTTAGGGAATAGTTCTATGCGCACTTAGGCAGAGAAAAATAGCCCTTTTCTGTCTAAATGTGTATCGGAATACACCCTAAATAGGGTCCCCAGGTGCTTTTGGTGGTGACAGATTATTAGGAAAATATATTTTTGATGCCACAGTTTCTAAAAGCTCCAGAAGGCAGGAGAGGCACCGTCTTAAAATAAGCACGCTCCACTTCTCACCACTCTTTTAGGATGGCGCCCTTCTGCAATAGAAACAATAGAACAATAGAAACACAGAAACGGAGCGAGTCAGAAGGGGTCTCCCGGGCTATCTAGTCTGACCCCTGGCTCCAGCCGGCTCCGCTCACGACATGCCCACCATGTGGACATCCAGCCTATCCTTGAACATCCGCACTGATGGGGCCTCAGCCTCCTCCTGTGGAAGCCCATTCCACACCCTGGGGGTCCTGACTGTCAGGAAGTGCTTCCTGGCATCCAAATGGCACCCTGGTTCCCTGAGCTTGGCTCCTCTGCAGGGGGAAGCCAGGAGCACAAACGGCAAAGGAAGGTGACAGCCCTACTTAGGAGTGCTGGATCATGCTCTAAAAATCAGCCTCACTCAACCTGATGCCTTCCAGGGGACGACTCCCATCATCCTCAGGCAAGCTGCCTGATGGGGGTTGTAGTCCAGCACATCTGTGGGGCTGAAGGTTTGATGTTTGCTGAACGATGATGAAGTTCTCCCCAAGTAGGGAACAGCACCTTGATCCTTCCTTGCGGGCAGTGACTGGCAGCCAGGGATATGCCCACATGCCCCCTTTTCTCTGGGATGGTTGCTTTTTGCAGGAGCTGTCTTAGCATTTTCTTCATGTCAGTTTTCTGGATTTTTCTGTTGGCAAGAAATCAGCTCCTTACCCCAGGTTTATAACAGCAGTTTCTTAACTTATCCGCAATGGTCCATCTTTCCTCCAAAGCTCGTGCATAAAAACATGGGTGCATGAGGTATAGAGATATACAGGTACCGAGAAAGCTTCTAGTATCACGCCACTGATTTGGCTTGGATTTTAAATAGCTGCAGCGCAGAAGGAACCTTTGGTTTGCGATCTGCGAGTTGTCCTTCCATGCAAGCCCAGAACCGTTGGTTGTTCATGGCGTGTTTCGCCATGTTACAGAGGCAGCAGCAAGCACAGTTGAACAACCCAGCTGTTTGGTGTGGATGAAGGGAAACAGCCAACTTCAGTTTGTTCGATCTTCTGCCAGATCAACCCTGGGTAGGACAACAAACCATGGGTTAACCATGGGGTAGATAAACCACAGGTTTGTGTTATGTGCAGACCACCTCAAAGGGAATGAAGCACTTGGTCTGTTGTGGTGGCTGACCGTATCTGTTTGTTTGGTGGCCAGCGTGGCCTGCAATGCCATCAAATGTCAGCCTGGCAAGAAAATGTCCTGGCCAGTCCCTGTTTCTGCCACAATTGTGCCTCTCCAGCCGGTTTGGAAAGGTTAGTGGTGGAGCCCTCCCTTCCTGTCCCCATTTTATTGGTTCAAGTTTAGCTGGGCAGATTTCCAGAGCAGGCTGTAAATACACCCTGTTTCCTACTGGGCACAGAAGATGCTAAAGCTCATCTCCTTGCTATCGTCTTCCATTCTTCAGCTTGCCACCTTGGGGAGGGGCAGGAATAGATCAGATGCAGACCTGGGACCACCAGCACCTTACGAAAGGTGTCCAGTAGGAGGAGGCTCTTCTGGGACGTGCTGCTGATGGTTAAAATGAAGTTCTGAGTTTCCTAGATTAAAGAAAACCACTTTGCAAGATGGTTGCTGCTTGGTAAACTTTGCAGAACCTGAGCTGTTGGATGCAAACATTGGAAGTTTGCTTTTGCCTTGTTTCCCAACCATGAGGCACCTGGCCCTGACCTCCTTTGGTTGGTTAGTATTTCCCTTTTCTTTCTTTTTAAAGCAAGTATATGTGGGTTCGAAAACCTGTTCGAGGGAATCCACCTCTTCTTTTAAAGGTGCTGTTCCTGTGCTATCAATAGCAGCCTGAAAGGTAGAAACCATACAGGTGAAGCCGCCTTCTCATAGGCATAAAATGGATGTGAGCCGCCCCGAGGCTTCGGCGAATGGGGCGGCATAGAAGTCTCCTAAATAAATAAATAAATAAATAAATAATAAAATGGTAAGCAAAGCTTTACCTATACAATTTCTACATTTCAGACTGCTGTTAAAGGCAGAGCCCGTAAAAGCAGAGCCCGTAGAAGCAAACGAATAAATGTGGTGAGCCTGAAACAGGCCGTATTTAGGGCAATCCTCCATCCCTCTTCCCTCTCGCATCCCTTTTAATGCAGCTTCCTTCTGGAAATAAAAGCCGTGTTTGGACTGCAAGGTCTTGGAAGAGGACATGCTTTCCCTACAGACTCTGAACAGGGAATTTGTGCTTCTTACCTGTGAGCAAATGGGAAGCCCCTCTGTCTCGTTTCCTTCACAGGACATTTTAACCCTGCTGTCAGCTTCTTTTGCATGGTTGCTCTCTATAAATGCATCAGCGAAAGGCGATGCCATGTGGCCCAGAAATGGAAAACTGGAGGAGGGACAGCCTCGGAAAGATCAGCTATAAATAATTCGTCCTGTTCCGTCCCTGGCTTGTCGAGCTGGTGCTGTTCTAGGCAGATTATCCTCCTGGCTCCAAGCCATGGAGTGGAACCGAGTTTCTGCCACGTGGTCGACAAAGAGGAAGTCTTTCTCCTCTGTTCCCTAAACTGCCTTTGGGGAACTAATAAGGGATGTGGCTTAGCTGAAATTTGCCGAGCTCTGGAGATGTAGAAATGTCAGGGAGCCAGCTGGAACGGTGCACAGCCAGTGGGAGGGAAAGGTAGCCGTGTCAGTCCAGTTTGGTAGTCCTTTTGCTGGGGCCAACCTCACTTAGCACAAAATTAAGATGTGAGTTTTCACGGTCTCCAGATTTCTGCATCAGGCTGGATGGTACAGAAAGGAGGAGGGGTTTGTGTGGGGAGGGGGCAAAGCAGAAGAATACATACCCGTCCTGGAGTTTTCTCTCTGTGGGGTGCTGTACGTTACCCACCCTGGCCATATGGATTCGCCACCAAACTGCATCTTGATCAAGAGACATTCAAGACAACTTTTCAGGCTTCAAGTGGGGCAAAACTTTCAAGGAATTTGGCATGTGCGAGGTACCAGTTTCGGTTCCTGGAATCCTGGGAACTGCTTGGTTAGCTAGGTGTGCCAAGGCTCTGAAAGAGGAAGGCCCTTCCCAGCGTTCTGGCACAGGGAGCAACGACACTTTCCAGTGAGAGCAGCAATCCTTCGCAGGATGGCCGTGTCGACATTTTTGGATTTGCAGGAAACACGAATGTAGGCTTTTAGCTGAGCTGTTGGTTCTGTGTTTCTGCCTCTCTCCTGCGGCTTCAGGAAAGCCTCGGCCAGCGGAGAAACTCTCCTTGCACTGAGCAAAGCTGCTAAATCCTAGCGTGGGCTTTGCAAATACGGCTTGGCAGGTTTCCCAGGCTAGCCTTCCTCGGCCCCCCTGCTGTGCCTGCAGTGCTAAACTAGACCCCCCCGTGACCAAATCCTCGCTCTCGCAAACACCAGATAAAGTAGGAAAACGCGTGTCTTGACCAGGCCGCAGGTGCGGAGGGTTCCCTTGAGTGTGGCTTCTCTCTGCCAATAACGGCTCCACGTATTCAGGGTGCTGCTCTTGGAAACGGGATACTGGAGAACCGCCCTTTTCCTGGCCTGCTGGTTGTTTATGGGCAGCCCAGTTGAAAAATACGTGGAGGGACATGTGTGACTTGCGTGAAACAAGACCCCAGGCTTCTTCCAAGGAGCTGGGCGTGATGTGATCCGTCGTCACATCTGAGCCAAGCTCCACCTCGTCTGCTTAGCGTGTGCTGAGTGACACAGACGCGCCTGAAGGCCCAGTGCCCAGTCTCTCCAGTCTGGGTCCAGTTCTCTTAGCAGTGGCTGCCCGAGCTTTACCACCTCACGTGTCCTTCTGAGCAGCGGGCCAAATCTCTCCCTCTCCGTCTCTCAGCAACAGCAGCGCCGAATCCCTGGACAGGCTGCTCCCTACCGTGGGCGCCACGCGGTCACCGCGGAAACGGACCACCAGCCAGTGCAAGTCGGAGCCTCCCCTGCTCCGGACGAGTAAGAGGACGATCTACACTGCCGGACGGCCCCCCTGGTACAACGAGCATGGCACACAGTCCAAAGAGGCGTTCGTCATTGGTGAGGCATCTGGCGGGCTGGGGCGCCATTTTGGATGTCCGTCCAGGGTGGGCACAGGTGCGGGAAGCAGTGTCTCAGCTGCAGGGCTGTGCAGCCCCTTTCAGCCCACGGGTCAGATTGCATTGCAGAGCAGCGCTGGCCCGCTGACCTCCCGTGGTGGGCAGGGGCAGGCCAAAAGGGGTGGGGCCAACACACCAACCAGGGAGGGATAATTCCCATTCCCTGCTGAGGACCGCCTAGCACCAATCCTGCCATCTTTTCAGCACCAGATTAAGACCACCCTCTACTTCCAGGTACCGAATGGTATTTCACAACATCGGATGGGGGCATTTATGTCAGCTGTCTTTTTAACATGTCTGGTATTTTTATTGCAATAGTTTTCTTGCTGTTTACATTGTTTGAAATGTTATATGTTAAAATGCTGTGCAATATTTTATTATCCGCACGAGTGCTTTGTAATTTTGTGAGTGATTTTGAACCCCCCAGAGAGCTTCAGCTATTTGGAAGTATAGACGTGAAATAAATTAGTATTATTGTTATTTAAAGCTTTTGGAATCCTGAGAAAAACTGCACGGAATCCAGAAAATCACCAAACCAGCAGTGGTTGGGGGAGAGGTGGTGAGGATGTGACCATCTGGGGGACTGCTGAGGGCCAGGCAGGTTGGATTTAGTCCCCAGACCTGAGAATCCGCATCTCCGCCATAGACTAAATAGTGGTCTTTTTGAGGGGCATATTTACTGCTTTGGGGGTGATGCTTGTTCAGAGAATCATAGAACAGTAGAGTTGGAAGGGGCCCTCCAGGCCCCCGGGTCCAACCTCTGCTGTTGCAGGACACCAGTTTACACCATAGAAATAGAGTCAGAAGGGGTCTCATGGGCCATCTAGTCTGACCCTGGCTCCACTCATGACATGCCCACCATGCGCATGTCCAGTCTGTCCTTGAACACCCTCACCAGTGGGGCCTCAACCACCTCCCGGGGAAGCCCCTTCCACGCCCTCGGGGTCCTAACTGCCAGGAAGTACTTCCTGGCATCCAAACTGAACCTTGGCTCCCTGAGCTTGGCTCCACTGGAACGCGTCCTGCCCTCTTCCGCAGGGGAAAACAGGTCTCTGTCCGACTCCCGTTCATGTGTGAAAGAGGAACCAGTCCATCATGGTTCAAACAAACCGGCAGCAGAGTGGTTGCACCCGGATGTCAAAGTAGCTTGGGTCGAATCCATTTTGGCCATTTTGGATGTGTGGCTATTTCTGGAACTTGTGGGATTTCTGGTTGTCTCTCAGCCTTATCCCACCTTACCAGCATGCTGTCAAGAGCCAGTCTTCTCCTCCTCCTCCGAGCCGATCAGGAAAAAAGGCTTCTGCGTAAAGTCAGAAGCACAGTTGAAAGTTGCTCCTTCCCAACCAGAGTTGGCACCACCTTCAAGATGGGTCTTGCTGCTCGTGGGCCCGTCACCTGGAACATTTGATGCGTCTCTTAGCCTGACACCATATGATTGGACCAATGGCATCAAGCCCTCCCACCCATCTCAGCTTGCTCACGAGAATTTCCCGCAGAACTTGAAACTGTCTGGTTCTCAGTGGCTTCAAGACCAGTGACCCTGGCTTTGCAGCTGTGAATTCCAACCCTGCCTCATTCTCCACTTCTGAAGAATTCTGGAGGCTGGGTCACTACTTTTGAAGGCTGTTATTAGAGGAGAAGTGGGCTGGAAGCCAGTCCCTGGACTCTCTGCGCTTCCTGATGAGTGCACTGGGACACTTAGATCTCAGTCCTAAGTGTGCTTACTAGGGCGTCTTCACAACCTGGTGACCTTAGGATGTATTGGACTGCAGCTCCCACAATCCCCCAGGCAGCATCCCCATGGGGCATTCTGGGAAATGTAGTCCAACGCATCCTGAAACCACCATGTAGAAAGAACCCTGTTGAAGAAAGTAGGATTTCCTTTCCAGCAGTCAAGTGCAGCTAATTGGCTTACATCCCTTTATCTTTTTTGCTGCCTCAATAATATCCTTTGTTTACCAAAGTACTCCAGGCAGTTCACAGTTGAAAAATACTAAAAATGATGTGCCGACGATGAAAGAAAAAGTCACCGGGATTCTCTCTGTCTGCAAGCAGACGTCAGAGGATCCTTCCAGCTCGAGTGTGGCTGGGGTGGGACGAGAATCCCGAAGCGCTGATGGTCCCAGTGGATCAGGGTCAGAAAAAGTTGTCCAGGTATATGTACCCTTGCCCCCACGGTCTCGCCTCCTGTCCTCATTCCCCGCCCCATCCCTCCACAGGACTCGGGGGAGGAAGTGCTTCCGGAAAGACAACGGTGGCCAGAATGATCATCGAGGCCTTGGACGTGCCCTGGGTGGTGCTCCTTTCCATGGACTCGTTCTACAAGGTGAGACTAGCCGGGCGACACACCGCTGCTCCTTTATTTATTTTTATTTTTATTTAGTTTTCGATTTATATCCTGCCTTTTTCCTTAAAGGACTCAAGGCAGCTTACATCTTCTCTCCTCCTCCATCTTATCCCCACAACAACACCCCTGTGAGGTAGGTTGGGCTGAGAGTCTTTGACTGGCCCAAAGTCACCCAGTGGGCTCCATGGCTGAGCGGGGACTCGAACCCGGATCCTCTGAGTCCCAGTCCCGTGCTCTTAACCACTACGCCACACTGGCTCTCCTCTTTATCAAAATTATCAATCTGTCTGTCTGTCTGTCTGTCTGTCTATCTTTCCATTTATATCCTGCCTTTTTCCTTAAAGGACTCAAGGCAGCTTACATCATCTCTCCTCCTCCATCTTATCCCCACAACAACCACCCTGTGAGGTAGGTTGGGCTGAGAGTCTGTGACTGGCCCAAAGTCACCCAGTTGGCTCCATGGCTGAGCAGGGACTAGAACCCGGATCGCCTGAGTCCCAGTCCCGCGCTCTTAACCACTAGGCCACAGTTGTCGTGCTCTTGTTTTCTCAGTAAACAACTTGGGATGGGATGGGTGGGGAAGGGCATTTGGTGCCTTCTCGCATTGATGGAGCGGAAGCATCAGAGGGCTCACAGGTCGAGCCTCCCAGATCATCCAGGCCAGAAGAGGTTAGAGGCATCCATCCAAGTGCCCAGAAGACGTCCCCATTCAATAGAGCCATTAAAAATTGGGTTGCGGCCCGTGTTACTGATTCATGCATTCTTTATTATCTTTTACATTCTGGCGCATTTGCAAAAAAGCCATCAAGTCTGTGCGCAGCGATTTAAAACAGTAAAACCTCCCCAGAGTGGAGTGAGAATATTCGAAAGGGTAAGCGGAGCAATCCTGCAGACTCCAGATGGAGCCCAAAGAACTGTGAGATTTCGGATTCCCAGCGCTGGGCTCAGAAAAGAATGCTGGTCTCTGATCGGGAGACCTGCACTTGAGATCTTTTCCTCGCAGCTGGCATGGAAAGGGCAGTGCCGGCTGCTTGTTCGAGGTCGGAAGAACCACCTCGGAGAAGGGGTGGTGGGAAGGAGACCATCAACGCCACGATGCAGTGGCTCCTTGCCTCCTTGTAACCTGGGCAGAACACTGGTCCACCCTCACAGCCGTGTTCTTTCCAGTCTGCAAAGGATGCCTTCCGTCTTCTGAATTTCAAGGGCCACGGACTTTGCCTTGGACTGCTTTCTAAGAACAACACACGAGACATTCTCAAAACCAATCTGTCCCTCTTTCCAAAGGCCAAAAGAACAGGCTCTTGCTGTAATTCCGTAGTTGTGGGGGAGCATAAGAGAAAATTCAACTTCGACTAGACTCACTGAAATAAATGAGGCCTGGGTTAAAATATCACTGGATACAAGCCCATTAACGTCAGTCCGAGCTGCCTCAGCTTACCTTCCACGTCCCCAAATTAGGCTCCTGCAGTTTCAACATTAAATTCCAAGCAATCCATTTGTATAGGAAGGCTTCTAGGATATTTATTTGGGCCAGTTTAATGGGATTCTGTGTTTCAACAATGCATTCACCAAAGCGCCTTTCTGTCAGCAGGTTTAATTAGGGCTCCATCCCATTTCCTCCAAAGCCGTTTGCATAGCTCTCCTCAGGGCTTATTTTCCAAACCTGACACAATTAAATTAATTGAACAATAATGAACTCTGAGCTATTAGCCAATAATTGCTCTATTGCTACCGTCTTCTTTGTTCAGTCCTTCGGTACCTTATTATAAGTTATATTTTCCAAGGCACGGCAACTCATTTTCCATCATTACTTTTACTCCAACTTCTGTGGCTTATTAGCACGGCAGGTGCTTGGCACGCAGGCAGTCCGGGGTTCAGTTCTCTGGCACTTGGAGTAGGAAAGATGCCATCCAAAATGACTAATGGGCCGATCTGACATAACATATATTTCCATGTATCTCTGTCTATTTCATATAAAATAGATACTTCAGTCATTTTTGTAATCCTTGTAGATGCAGGTGGGCAACTTCCAGCAGGCTGGATTATTTGGCCTACAACTCCCATGATCCTTCATCATCAGATAGGCTGCCAGGGCCTATGGGGATTGTATGCCAAAACATTCGGGCAGCCACACATCACCCGCTGCTTTTGTAGGTGGATCCTCACTGTTGTCTGTAATCCTTTGAATTGGACCTGCAACTGGGCTGTTAGATCATGTTATCAAAAAACAGAACTGGGATTTTTACCATCATCTCTTTCCCCCTCTCCCATCATTAACAATTTATACCTGCCTCAATAAACTAAACAGCACTAAAGGGTCTACGGTACCATCCAATAGTGAGCAACATTTGAACTGACATTTGGTCCAATCAATGTCTGCTAAGTAATAAGAATAATAATTAAAATGGCCCTGGCAGGGTAACCCGAATTGTCCCTCCCGCCCACTAAGTTGTCTCTAACAGAGGTTGGCCAGAAGCCCAAGCTTCCAAGGAGGGGAGGCCAGGTAGACCTGTCCCCAGGTGTCTAACCCTGGTATGAGCAAAGGTTTGCTGCCACTGAATACTGGGATTTCTCCAGCTGTTGTGCTTGGCATGCCCACGCTGTGTTTGTGTCCTCGTTGTGTGGACCGTATCTCATCCTGCCGCACACATCTGCTGTCATTCTGCTAGTCTACCCCTTCCCTATTTCCTTAATTTCCTGTCGGAATTTAACTAAACCAGAAATAGAGGGATGTGGTTGCCTGTTGTGTCAATTTCATCCCTCCGATCAGTCAATTTCATCCTTCCGATCAGTCAATTTCATCCCTCCGATCAGTCAATTCCATCCCTCCGTATGATTATGTACGGAAAGCCTCCTTTCTGATTGCTACCTGCATAAACGTCTTCACTTTCCCAGCCCGGGGTTGGTAGCCAACTGCCCGCATTTTCTCCTCTCCACCTTTCTCCTTCTTGCCTAGGTCCTGACGAAGGAGCAGCAGCAGCAGGCGGCCAGCAACGATTACAACTTCGACCACCCCGATGCCTTCGATTTTGACCTGATCATCTCCACCCTGAAGAAGCTCAAGCAGGGCAAAAGTGTCAAGATCCCCATTTACGACTTCACCACCCATAGCCGCAAGAAAGAATGGGTGAGCCCCGCTGCTGATGTGTGTTGAAGCCAGGAGAGTTCGTTCCATCCTGCCGGGCTCCAGAGGATGCTCCCTCCCCCATAGAGTAACATGGAGAATCCCCCAAGTATTTTGGGACTTTGGGAACTGTCACAACTAAAGACAGCCTGTCAGGGGATATAAAACGCATCTCACAGGGTGGGCGGCTTGTGCTCCTCCGTTTCTTTTGGCGTACAGCATGCATCCCCCCTCGTCGTTGGCTGGGCTGCCTAAGGCTGATGGGGGTTGGTTTATCTATTTAGGAGACTTCTATGCCGCCCCATTCGCTGAAGCCTCGGGGCGGCTCACAACCATAAATAAACTTCAAAATAGAATAATATAAATTAACAATATAAATTCAGTTGCCCTGGCCAAAGAATAAAATGAATAAATAATATTAACAATTAAAATAACATTTGAATAAAAAGCTCTTCGCCTGGCGCCGAAAAACAAATAACGACGGTGCCAGGCGGACCTCTCTGGGGAGCGCATTCCATAGATTAGGGGGCAAAACATCCCCCAGCTTGCCCACGCATGTGTGAGAGAGTTTTGCGTGGTTTCTTAGTTCAGTATTTGGAGATAAAATGTTCTCATGGACAGTTGTCCCCACGCAAGTGGCAGCTACTGGTGGATTGTGCTGTGGTGCCCAGATCTCACTGTAAGCTCTTTCAAGAATTAAGGTGCAAATCTACATGTGTTTAGACAGAGAAATGACCTACAACAGGCTTCTCCCTGTCTTGGCACCTATAGCATTGCACCTGAAAGTCCTTATAAAAGAACATTAGACCAGCTTTCCCCAACCTGGCACTCCCTAGATATGCTTGGACTATGAGTCCCATCATGCCTGCTCACTGAATGGTGGGAGTTACAAGCCCAGCGCAGCTGGAGGTCAGCAGGTTGGCAAGGACTGGACTGGGCTTCTTATGAGTCCTTTTCTGTCTTCTCCCTGAAAGTATTTTCACTGAATGGCTTTGTGAAGGAACAAGCGGCGGTCCCTCTTCTGCTCGCCTTCTCCCTCTTTGCCTTTACATTGCGTCTCTTGCTTCCAGAAAACTCTCTATGGAGCCAACGTGATTATATTCGAAGGCATCATGGCGTTCGCTGATAAAGAGCTGCTGAAGGTAAGACCGGACTTCTAGCATCTTCACAAGATCCTTTCACCTGTCCTTTCTGGAAGCATGCTTGTCAGGATCAGAGCTCCGATGCACCATTTTTAGAAGCCGCCTGGCCATTTGATTTCGGAAGAGAAGACTTGCGGGGGGAGGTTTGTAGTGCGCATGTTCTGCCTGTGGAAGGACCTGGGCTCAGACGACAGCATCCTGGATTAAAATGAGCTAAGGTGGCATGACTGGGCTGGGGAGGAAACGCCTTGAGATCCTGGCACGCTGCTGCCAATCCAAGTAAACACGGGACTAGATGGACATACAGCCAAGCCCTGCCGCTCCTTAAAGACAGGCAGGTTTCTCGTTGAGTGAGCTTTGTTCTGCAGGCCAGATTGTGAGCGCGCACACCATGGCAGGACAACAGGCTGCGCGGTGCCCTGTTTTCTCGGCCAAGCACGGGCCTGCAGACCCCCGGCGCTGCCATCCCAGTATCGGCATCACCTTTAGGCACGTCCAGATCTTCTTTCTGCACTGTTGCTTCCTGAGTTTTCCTTTCCTTTGCGTGCTCCTTCTTGATAGCTTTCCCCTCCGGTCTTTCTGTCCCAGCGGTATTCCCCCAGTGGCCTGGTCCAGCCCTGGCCTCCTCCATTTAGATTCGAGGATGATAATAAAACTCTTTGAGGATTTATTTATTTCTGTACCACCCCATAGCCAAAGCCCCCTGGAAAAAACAAAAGCGGTGGTGTGAAAGGTAACGCACAGCTGATTGAATGCAGTGATGAAGGATGGGAGCAGATAATAAACTTTAAATAAACTGGCCAAGATAAACTTCCATGCATCCCTCCGGCTCAGGGCTTCCTGATAGCATGGATGTTGCTCGGGCTAGGTGTAGCTCTTACTTCATGCTCAAAGTCAAAGCGCAAGCTAGTAAGCGTTGGCTTCCTTTCCCCCTCTCTTTCCAAGGCTGTCAACGTGCCACAAATTTGACCCCTTCCTGGGAAACAAGAGCAAGCGAAGCTGCTTCAGCAAAGCAAACATCTTCCTTTCTTACAGTGTTTGCAACATCCATGCAGATTTCAAGCAGGCCTGCGCCTACTTAGCGTCTGAGATTTGCGTGGGAATACTACAGTTCTCATCAGCCACAGCCTACATGGTTGGGGATTATAAGAATGGCAGCCCCCACAAAAAATCTGCAGGGGCCACTGCATTCCCTTCCTCTTCTGCTTAAAATCATATGAAAAGCATGAGATGGGCCTGCATTTGGCTTGGAAAGGGGTCCTGAGCGGACAGGCCAGCCTAAACTGAGGTGGCACTGCCCTCTTGTGGCCAGTGGAGGAATTCTCAGTAGAAGAGGCTCTGCAAAGTGGGATTTATTCTGGTCTCAGAGACAAAGTAATGAATCTTGGAGGCTTTTGAGCTTCCTGCTCCAAGGTCCCAACCCAGCAGCTGTATGCCAAGCTCCATGGTTGCACCTGAGCTTCTGAGCTTCCAAGTTTCCTCCCTTGATGGACTTCCTTCTTGTTGAATATGCCACCTACAAAACCTGATGCACACAGTTTCCACTTGGAAAATGCAGGGAGTCTGGAGGGGATTTAGGAGTTTCTGACATTTTAACCAGCTTGCTAGTGAGGCGTATCTCTCACTGAGGTGGTCAACCTGTCTTTGGGCATTGCCACTTCAAATTGCGAAGCGAGGCAAATATTTGGCATTTGCTCTATGCAGAATATCCCTGCCCTTAGAGAAAATAGCCAGACCTTGCATTTAGCAAACTAGCCTCTCAGGAAGAGCCATCTGGATTAAAAGCATTGGTAGGAAGGACCAAACTTTGGGTTGGCCCCTCGTGTGCAAACTAGTCCCTCTGCTTGCTGGCACTCGGCAGGATCTCTCTTGTCTTTTCATAGTTCCATGTTGTTTCCCATCCAGCTTCTAGACATGAAGATCTTTGTCGACACGGACTCCGACATCCGGCTGGTCCGGCGCCTGCGCAGAGACATCAGCGAGCGCGGCAGGGACATCGATGGAGTTATAAAGCAGTACAACAAATTTGTCAAGCCAGCCTTTGACCAGTACATTCAACCCACCATGCGGCTGGCTGACATCGTCGTCCCTCGAGGTAGGACTCCCACCTGGGCTGACGGGCGATTCAGGTTAGAGGCGGAGTGTGAACCTCCCTGAACTTCCGGTGTGATGTAGTGGTTAAGAGCGCAGGGTTGGGATCCAGGAGATCCGGGTTCGAGTCCCCGCTCAGCCATGGCGCCAACTGGGTGACTTTGGGCCAGTCACAGACTCTCAGCCCAACCCACCTCCCAGGGCTCTTGTTTTGGGGATAAGATCAAGAGCGGGAGAATGATATTAGCCGCTTTAAGTGCTTTAAAAAAGAAAATGGCAGGATAGAAACCAAATACATAAATGCTTTCGAAGCTTGGTTTGGCTTGCTCCTGTCTCATTTGCAGCTTGTGTTTTGGTTCTTTCAAAAAAAGTGTGCATTGTTCAGATGTGCTCACACGGCTTAGCACCTGCGGGCTAAACCATCACAAGCTTTCAAAATTGTGCATTTCTTACTGTGTGCACTTTTAAAACTGCATTCTTGCCACTAGTGTGGGAATCTGCCGATATTGCCAGGATCGCCGTGAGCGCGTCCACAGTCAGGGCGGGGGAGAGTGTATCCCCCAGTTCCCTGCCTGCGCTGACGGACTGCGCTGGCGCCCGCTGGTGGCTCGTTGTGATCATTGCTAGTCTCTGGTTGGCATACCCTTTCCCCTTCTCTGTTCGGCTTTAGGCAGTGGGAACACCATAGCCATTGACCTAATCGTCCAGCACGTGCACAGCCAGCTGGAAGAGGTAAGGGCTGTTTTCGTGGGTGGCGTGACCTGTGTCTTGGGGGGCTCCAGTGGGGCAGGACCTGCGGCAAAGGTTTCCCAGGTTTCATGACCGGAGGCTGAGTGAATGACTCGGGTAAACTTCACGGTGGGTTGAGAAACTGGCTGGCCTCCTTCCCGAATGGTTCGGCCTTGTTCCAAAGCTCCAGAACAAGTTCCAGACCAGTTCCAGGGGCTTAAATGACACGTCTCGGTTGGCCTCGGAGAGGGAGGAAGTCTTCGTTGTTCTTGAGTTCATTGTTCCTGCAGGCAGGAATGCAAAAGCTGCCCCAGAGGCCAAGCTGCTCAGCAGCAAGGCAATTGATCGCTTTCTCATGGAATAGTGGAGTGGGCCGAGGGTCGTCGGGTCCCAACCCCCTGCTCACTGCTGAGTTAAACCATCCCTCTCAGACGGCTGCCTTGAACGAATCCAGGGTGGGCGAGCCCACAACCTGCCCAGTCGTTGGTCCCATTGCTGTGCTGCTCTGACAGCCAGGAAGTTCTCCATGTTCAGTGGGAACCTGGCTTCCTGTGACTTAAGCCCATTGTCCTCTGTCCTGCACTCTGGGATGATCGAGAAGAGATCCCGTCCTTCCTCTTTGTGCCAGCCTTTCAAGTACTTGCAGAATGCTCTCCTGTCTCCCGTCAGTCTTCCTGAGGCTAAGCATGCCCAGGTCTTTCCCTCTGTCCTCGCAGGGCTTTGTTTCCAGTCCCAGGATCATCCTCGTTGCCCTCCTCTGAGCCCTTTCCAGCTTGTCCGCACCCTTCTTAAACTGTGGTGCCCAGAACTGGACACAGGACTCCAGAGGAGGCCTAACCAGTGCCGAGTAAAGGGGGCTAATACTTCATGGGAGTTGGAAGCAATATTTCTATTCATGCAGCTTAAAATAGCATTTGCCCTCTGTGCAGCCACGTCATATGGTTGACTCATCTTCAGCTTGCGATCAACAATTCCAAGATCCTTCTCACTTGCACTATTGTTGAGCCAGGTATTTCCCATTGTGTAGTAATGTATTTGGTGTCCTTTTCCTAGGTCAGGACTTGGCATTTGTCCCCGTTGAGTCATGCTCTCTTTTTCCAGCCCAGCACTCCAGCCTATCCAGATCACCCTGAACCTTCTGTCTGTCTTCCAGGCTATTAGCCATCCCACCCAGTTTGGTGCCATCTGCAGATCTGATAATCTTTGCCTGTACTTCCTCATCCAAGTCATAATGAAAATGTTGAAGGCACTGGGCCAGGACTGAACCCAGCGGTACCCCGGTTTGGGAAGGAGGCACTGATGAGCGTTCTTTGAGTCCGATTCTGTAGCCAACTGTGGATCCACCCAATCGGTGTTCCACCTTGTCCACTAATCAGGAAATCATGGCGCTCTTTGTGAAAAGCTTTGCTGAAGTCGAGATAGATTATATTCACAGTGTTCCCACAGTCCATCAGGGAGGTTCCCCAGTCAAAAATTGAAGCCAGACTAGTCTGGTAGGATTTGTTCTTGAGAAATCCATGCTGGCTTCTAGGAATCGCTGCATGACTTTGATGGTGCTTGCAGACGAACTGCTTTGTCGTCCGCTCCTGAATTTTCCCAAGGATTAGTGTCAGACAGTTCCCAAATTCGTTTTTTCCCCTTTCTGGAAGACAGGGCCAACATTAGCCCTTCTCTGCTCGTCTGGCACTTCCTCTGTCCTCCATGATTTTTCAGAGAGAATAGGCAGCGGTTCTGAGAGTTCTTCCACCAGCTCCTTTATGAATCTAGGATGGGATCCACTGGTCCCTGGAGATTTGAACTCATTCAACCCAATTAGATGATCCTTCACCATTTGCCTGTCAATCCTGAGCTGCCATCCTGCTCCTTCAGTTTGTACTCCCCCCTTTTCAGGAAGGTCATAGATATTTGGGGAGAAGACTGAGCCAGAGTAGGAATGGAGTGTTAGCATTTTGCCTTCCACATTGAGTAGTTGGACCCCCATTTCTTTTCTCTGTATTTTGCTCTGGATATATCTGAAGGTGCTGCTGCTGCTGCTTTTCACATCCCTCACGAGTCTCAGTTCATTCCTAGCTTTAGCCTTCCCTGCAACTCCGTGCTACCTGCCCGTAGTCCTTCTGTGTAGCCTGGGCTTCCTATGCATGTCCTTTTTGTTTTCAAATCATCTCCAAGCGTTTTGTGGAGCCACCTGGGCTTCTTCTGTTGTTTTCTACCCCTTTTCCTTCTTGGAATTCTTTGTACTTGTGCCTTTAGAATTTCCTTTTTTTAACTCCCACATTTCTTGGACTCCTTTTCTCATTAGAGTCACTTGCCGTGAGACTTTGCTTATCCTTCTGGGTTTATTAAATTGGCTTTCTTGAAACCCAGGGTACGTGTTTGGCTTCATCCGGCTTTTGTTTCCTTGAGAATTAACAATTTGAGTATGCCATGGGCACTTCCCCCCTGAGTCCCCGTAGCTGCCCCCGTGTCCACAGAGCCTTCTGTGTCTGTTAGCCTCCAATCAAGGACAGCCGCTCCTCTTCTTCCTTCCTCCGCTTTCTGTTGGGGGAAGCCATCAGCAGCATCCAGCAGCCCCTTCTTTGAGGACTGAGAGCAGGTCGTGGAGAAGGGGGAGGGAGGCATTTTTCTCCCCCCGCCCCCAATATTAGAAATCAGTGGGTTCATTCCACGAAGGTGAGTGTCGGGGGGCCGAGGAAAGGAAGGACTTGACCCAGCAGATAGTTGAACTGTGGAATTCACAACCGCGGGATAGAGTGAAGGCGGCCAAGCTGGGTGGATTTAAAAGGGGGCTGCACACGTATCTGGGGGAAAAGCTGTCCACCGTGGGGAGCGGTCTGTTGTCCTCCAGGTGCTGGGGAGCATGGGTGGGAGGGTGCAGTTGCGCCCACGCCCCACCTGTGGCCCTCCCTCTTGGGGCGTGTGGTTGACCGCCGTGGGAGCCCCCATGTCCTTGCACACGCTGCCCACAGGGGCAGGTGTGCAAGCACCCCTTGGCACCACCCTGGGTTCCCTCCCTCCCACACACGCCTGCGCATGCACGCGCACGCTCCCGATCCGGGGGCCCTCCATGCGCATGAGAGTGTGGCTCACACCTGCCAGGACGCATGAGGCCGCCCTCGCTCACTCGCTTGCTCGCTCGCGCGCGTGCGCTGGAACGCTGATGCCGAGGGGCCGCGCAGGGCCGAGTGGAAGGACTCTGGGTCGGAACACCTCCAGCCCAAGCCAGCGAGAGAGTGTCAGCTGCAGGCTGGTATAGAAATGGAAGAAACCATAATAACGGCCGGGGCTGGTATTTATCTGTTTAACACTTTTATATGCCGTCCTTTATGTATGCCATCTCAGGACGGCTCACAGTCATGAAAATCAGAATACACCGAAACAATCAATGCCAATATAAGAAACAATATATAACCAATAAAATAAATGACATCAAAAGTGACCGTTAACACCATTAAAATGGTATTTTTTTAAAATAACAGCATGCATAAGCCTTTTTACCTGGAGGAGCACTGCTTCCCCCCAAAATCTGAAATGGTGCAGTCCAGCAACACTGACTCCACCTGGACGGTCCGCTCCTGTCTGAGTCCGACTTACTGGGTTTGTACCCCTCCGTCCCACCCACTTCAAGGACCTCCAGGCAAAATACATGGTTCTGCCCCCGTTCTAGCTTATCTTCACAACAACCCTGCGAATTAGGCTAAACCAGAAGCCTCCCAGTGAGACCCACGGCTGTGCGTGGGCTTCAGCACCAGCCTTCCCGTCTCCCCGCAACTCTCGGATCCAGTCTTCTCCAACTTGGTGCCCTGCAGATACTCTGCACTGCCATTCCCAGCATCCCCAGTCATCAGCCACCTTGATGGGAGTTAACATGCAAAACCTCCGGAGGGCATCGATCGAAGGAGGCTGCTCTAACCAGTAGGCTGACTGACCAGATTGCCACCACGTGTCACTGTGGATGCTCTGCGCTTGTGGCAGGCCAGTTGTCTGGGGCCTTTCCCAGGCACAGAACCGCTTCACAAGCCACCCAAAACGAGGACCCGGGGGACTGGTTTGCGGATCAGCAGCCAGTGCTTGCAAGCTAGGACTAAATTGGACCGCTGTGCACAGGGAGGGGAAGCCTGAACCTCCCATCCGGCAACACACCCTTCCCGGCAAATAATTCACCCTGCCTTGCAGGGACTGAAAAAGGAAGGATGGCGGATTCCCCTTCTTTCTTTTGGGGTCCCTGTGGCAGGCGCGCATTTTGCAGTGGGCAGGTAGGAAGACTGAAACTTCCCCTGCCCATGCCTGGGGTTCTGACCGGCTTTGGAGCCCCGCATGTTCATGTTACAATTACGCACTGTGCTTGGGGTTCAACATAGCATGCGGATTACCCCACAGTCTCTGCGCAGGGACGGGCGGGGGGCAGTGTGGATCCAGCCCAGGGCTGGGCCAGGGCAGCTGGTGGCGCAAGGAGAGCAACATTCGAGAAATGCCAGTCCTGTTGGAGGAGTGAGTTGCTCCAGCTCCAGCCAGGCCAGCCCCTTCGCCTCGCTCCAGCCACCTAGGAAGCCACAGAAAGGAGCACCCAGTGAGGAAGCTACGTGGGAAAGGGACACGGTGCCTCTCGGCCCTCCAAGGCGTGAAGCCGCATGCGCAGAGAACGTGAATCCTTTGCTGTCCGCATTGCGCGGGCTCGGGAAGGCCCCGGGAGAGCGCTGGCAGCGCCGTGTGGTCCCCAGAGCTTCCATGCGCCCCCGTTGCAAGTTCACATCTGGTTGTTGGTTGGGAGGATTTTGTGGGGCTTTGGGTTTTTTTGTCCTCCTGGGGTTGCATTTGCTTGCTTGCTTGCTTGCTTGCTTTGATTTTTTGTAAACTGGTCTGTCCTGCACCGTGCGCAGCACTGGTAAGTCAGTTGACTGCGTGGGTGGAGTGCAGTGATGTGGCTTGGTCCTGGCCACCGCGTTCGGCGGAGGCGTCGCTTTGACGGGGCGCTTAAAAGCCCTCTGATCCACTGAGAAAGGTGCCCCAGCGACTGGGCTGTGGGGGTGCGGGGAGCGATAGGCTGATGTTTAACGAAGGCGCTGGCAGAATCCGGAGTGGCCGCGTGCCCTTCAGACAGGCGTCAGGAGGGAGCAGTTCCCCATCCCATCGTTCGTGTGCGTTTCTGCTGCAGCCTCTCCCAGCCTTGTGCTTTCTTGCTGCCTTGGACTACTATCCCCATCATCTCCCTGCCGGTCACACAGATGCTGGGGGTTGTAGTCCAACACAGTTGGGGGATACCACGGTGAAGCATGAGGACTGGATGCTTTTCTTCTCTGTTTGTGCAGATTTAGTTGACTGATGAACTGAACGGTCGACTGGAATTCACACGGGGTTTCGTCTTGATTCAGTTATCAGCGTGTCCGCATCCCTAGGGGTGCCCAGCAAGCAAGAGCCAAATGGGAGTAATCTTTCACACTTTGTGCCTTTCATCAGCCTCCCCCAGACCTGTTGGGCTACAACTCCCATCATCCACAGCCACTATGTGTGCTGAGCGGGGGATGATGAGAGCCGCAGTCCAGCGTCTGCAGGGCACCAGGCTGGGGAAAGCCCTTTTCCCCGGAGTGGGTATAGCTTCTAAGCTGCTGCTGAAACGGCTCATTTCCTCTTGGCAACAGATGCGTGGTTTTTATTTCTCACCATCCCCTTTTTAAAACTCTTGAGCTCATGCAGCACAACCTCACAAAAGAAAGGAGGTCGTTTGTGGGCTAATCCCTGGATTCCATTCTGCCCCTCTGTGGAATTGCACACAACTGGAGAAATACTGTGGGGCGTGTCATTCGTGGGAAGCGGGGACTTCCAGAGGCTCAAACCCGTTTGCGCAAGCCTTCAAAGAAACAGAGAAAGCTGCTGGCGAAAACTGCCAGTTCCTCTGCCAGGCCACGTGAGCATCCCAGACCATAGCCTTACGGTGAGTCAGGCCTTGTAGCCCAATATTGCCAACTCTGACTGGCAGCAATAGGTCTTGGGTAGCTGTACCAGGAACTGCCTGGGACAAAACTTGGCCTATTCAGCGTGCTAAGCCAGGCTTTGCCGTGAGCCCAGGTCCTTCTGTGTCAGAAGCCAGAGACGCGGGTTGATCAGGAATATCATTGAGGCTAAGGATTGCCAGATCTGTCAGTTTTGTCTTCTCCCACATCGGTTTGTTTGTTTGCTTGCTTGCTTCTTTGTTGTAATCTCGAGTTCCGTCTGCCCAAACGTGGCCAAAGTTGCAGATCTTGTAATCCTTATGAAGCATGAGATAAATCTCACCCTTCTGCTCCAGTCAGTTTTGATAGGCACAGCTATTCCCACTCACCTACAGCCAGTTATTAGCACTTAGGAGACAGCAGGAAGAAAGGGTGACTGTACCACATACATGGCTGACTGCACAGTCATTCAAGGGCTGGCTGTTGAAGCCCTGGACCCGCATGGTCAGATCTGTTGGTTTTGGTTTCCCTGACATTTGCGTTTTTTCGATCTCAAGTCATCTCCTTCTCAGATATGAAGAAATCTTTGCATTTTGGAAAATACTTACCAAACTGAACTGAAAGTAAATTATTATCCATTCCTAACTGAGTGGATGTGATTAAAGAGGAGCTGTGGGGATGTTCGAGACATCTTGGGATCATAGGCAGAGAGCGGGTTTAACTTCCTTGCTTCCTGTGCCTCTCCCTCCCCCACCCCCTCCCCAAAAAAGGGCCAGAAAGGCAAATAATGACATCAAGGGAAAAGAATGATGGTGGTCCAGCTCAGGTCTTCTTCTCTACATGCCTAGAGACCCCAGCTTCCATGTAGCCTGAAGTGCCTGATCCCACCTCATCTTGGAAGCTAAGCAGGGCCAGGCCTGGTTAGAAGTGGGATGGGTGACTTGAGTGTTTGATTCTGTGAGTATTGCTATAAACCACCCAGAGAGCTCTGACTATGGGCAGTATAAAAATATAATCATGATGATGAGTGAAACTGGTAGGAATGCCATCTGGATACTGTGCAGCTCTGTCACGATTAAGACCAAATTCTAACCTTGATCAAAAGACACAGGTGCGTGCCACAGTACAAGGGAAAAGCCCATCACACCTGTCGGTCTTTGGAAGAGCCGTTCACCTGGCCGTGACTACCTTCGAAGCTCACTTCTGGTCCTGAGAGCTGCCAGGAGCAAAGCTGAGAGTCCGGCTTCTGTAGAAAAAATGATTCCTGCGATGCTAAGTGCTCCCAAGTGCTGTGAATTTGGGAAATCCATGTCTGTTTTCCTTCTTTGTTTTTATCTCCCCTTTTGTCTTTTAATGCCCTGCTGGCGTTCCCACTATTTTAACACTGGTTGCACGATGTTCTTTCTGTTGTTGCTGCAGCGTGAGCTCAGCGTCAGGTAAGGGGTTCTAATGCCGTCTCTCTCCTTGCCCTCTCTCTCAGTATTTGCTCTGCAAGACCCAAGGCATTTTTAACGACGGGGGCTGCTAAACCAACTCCATGCCGTTTGATTTCTCGACGAAGGAAAGCTGAAATTCTTAGTGTGTCAAATTTTCTGTCCAGTGTTTTGCACTGATGCAGCGCAAGATGCGGGGTTTGCCTATCTTATGGCAATGGGAAAAGCTGAAATAGGTATGGGAGCAGGATGGGACCAGCGCTTCCTTTTGACTCGCCTTTTAGCCTCCAGTCCGTGCTGAACTGCCCCGAAACTCAGTGGGATGTTTTGTGGAAACGCGTACAGAATTGCGACGCCCAGCGCCTGACACACCCTTTCCGTGCTTTATCAATTCATAATTTTGGGCCCTCTTTTTTCGCCTTTGTCAGTGCACACAGTAAGCTGAGAGGCAGGGAAATGCTTTTCAGTCCTGGGCAAAGAATCTTAAATTTTGAAATGACGGTCACCCCAGAGATCGGATGAAACGGTGTCTCTCCCTCCAAGGGAAACTCAGGCTTAACATTACAAGGGAGACACAGTTAGGGTGGCCCCCTGTCCTCTTCCCTGCTCTCTTTGAAGGTGTCCTCTGCATGAAGGACCGCCCTGTCCTATTCTTGTTCGAAGATAAAAGCACAAAAGAGCCTGTTTGCCATCAGGACACCTTCCATGCTGTGCTAAGAAAAGCTTTATTCCTGTTTAAAGTATAATAACATGAATTAGCACCTGCAAGTCTGCATTACCTTTTCTCCGTTTCCCTGTTGGTGCATGCCCTCTTTTGTGGTGATACCTACATGGCCACCCTAAAGACAGTATTCCCAACCTCATTTTTCTCCCGTGAGGCCAGGGAGGAGGGGGATATTGGCAGGGATCTGTTGGCTAGCAGAGAAGCGGGATTTAATTCTCCCCGTCTACTGTTTTTTCCCTTGAAAGTCCCACACGTCAGTATTACTTTTCCCGTGCCACCGTAGCCAGATTTCAAAACCAGAAGTTTAATTTCCAGACTGGGATGAGAGGGAAGGACACTTCTGCTGAAGATGGGGAGTTCTGGGCGGTGGCTCGACAGCCCTTCTGCCTCCCACGGATTGGGTCCACCTGTCAGCCTCGTCTCTAGTTATCTATTAACTTATGGGTCTGGGAAGCTTCCAGTCCTGTTTGATGAGTAGCGTGGGGTTTGAAAACTTTTAAACAGTTGGAACTGGCTGGATAATAGAGGCTACTTTTTCGCCTTTCCTTCCCCCACCCCTGTATATCTGGCAAAGCTTGTCTAAAAAGTGGAGGAAATCGGGTTCTAGAAATAGATCCAGGTAGAATGGTCACGCCTTCCCCCGTTCTCCGGGCCTTGATCACATCAATGCGCTCGCTAGCACCGTCTCCACATAATAGACCTTGTGCAAAATGTCAGGCCGTAACGATGCAGCCTCCGTCCCCATTTGAAATGCCTTGCCTGGTGTTTGCCACTTTTTGCCTCTCCGTGTCTTTTATTTTTTTGCTCCACTTCGCTCTCTTTCGTCTGCTTCCTGTTTGATTTGCAAACGCAATGAAAGGAGATGATGACATTTGGCTGTTGAGTTTCTGAGACGGTCACCCTCGTTCTTTCTGGTCTTTTCTGAAGCGTTTGTTCTTGTGCAGAAAGGTTGAGGAGGAGGGGCAGCCAAATTGGTTTCCAAATGCAAGGCTTAAAAAAAAGAAAGAGGAAAGGAAAGAAGGAAAAAAAAAGCACGCAGAAACCACTCAAAGCTGCTTATCAGAATTTTCCGCTACCGGTCAAAGACAGTGAAATGTGGGCTGACAGGAAGCTTAGAGACCTGTCTTTGACGCGGGGCACAAGAGAAGAAAGGCAAAAATCCATTTGGCCACAACGATGACAAATGACTTTATTTAGACTGAGTTAGATGCATTTCTAGCACACACAAGAATATCTAGGGTTCTGGGCAGTTTGTGCGAATATGCACGGGGTTTTCAGCTTTAAATGTGTTGTTACTGTTCCGGGGCTCTGATTGGCACGAAGAATATGATGCTGCTTCTCCCATCACCGCAGATCCGTGATGGGGAAGGCCGTGGCAGTCTCGTGTCTGGCCAGCTCTATATGCCCAGAGACCCCGGAGAGGTCAGGGTCTCGTTGGAGGTCATGGAGTCAGTCGTCCTCCGTAGTTTGCTTCTCTCCAGGGCAAACTTCCTTTGCTAATTTGAGTGCTTCTCGTTCTCCCCCC